CCACGAAGTTTCAATAGCATTGTATTTGTGCGCCCGCACGTGGTATTTTGTGGAAGAGCCACACTGAAGGAGCCAAAGAGCCGCATGTGGCTGGCGAGCCGCAGTTTGCCTACCACGGCTGTAGAGGGACGTGAGATACAGTTTTAGATGCATAAGTCCAGATCCATGGGTTTTCATTTTTTCCTTTTGAAACACTGTTGTAGTTCAAGTCCTTTACCTTATTCATTTCTTATCATTGTGCCTCACACTACGCTGGATGCATCAGAGCATTCATTACTGTTTGTGGAATGCATAAATAAATGAATGAGCTGCTTAAGATTCATGCTGATTAGGAACAGCAGTAATTCTGGAGGTCCATGCAAACATCCTTTTTTCTTTACTTGCCATGTTTTTTTGCACTTTCCTTTGAGTGTGAATCTTATTTTTTTAAAATATACACAATTACAGAAAATAAAGGATGGAATCACGAAATTTCTATCAGAAGATGATCCAGGCTTCACATGCTTGCCCCTTCTCAGCTTGTCTTCTGCCCCGCTCACTGTGCTGAAAACAAATGGAGGTGCCTCTTAGCCTGGAGGAAGATATCGGCCCACAGCATCTTGGCCCATCTCCCTCCTGGCCTTTCTTATTTGCCTGAGGCAAGATGGTTATTATTTAGCTTTTAGGTTTTCCTTCCCTTGTCCCTGTTCTGTTGACAGTCTCTGAGCAGTGTGGGTGTCCCTGTCACTGGGATCTGGAAACAAAGAGGATGTGGGCTGCCTCACTTGTGGATTGGCTTCTGCCTAAACGAGAGGAGGCTTGGTTGTTTCCCAAGTTCCCACACCCCTACTGCACTACTGCCTCACCTTGTCTTCTTCAGCCTGTTAAAATCCATCACCCCACCAAGCCTCAGTTAAAGGAGCAATGGCTCAAGCAGAATTTTTTTTCTTTTTTATTTTTTTCAAGCAGAACTTTTTAAGGGGAGAAATATTTACTTTTTAAACTGCAATTTTTACTTTGTCTTTATCTCTTTTGATCTTCACACCAGCTCAGATTATTACCCTGGGTTCTTCGTGGTGTATTGAAACCAACAAAACCTATTTTGTTTCAAATATTGGAGTCCCATCCACACTTCCTAAAATGCGAGAGCACCAGTACTTTAGCTCTATATCTCTAAGGGACTCTGAGGCACACACAGTTCAGTCCTCAGGAAGCAAGTGTTGTTTGGGTGTCATGAGTCACAGTCAAGTCAATGTTTGACATTTTTCACCGTATCATAATGTATTGTATTTATAATGTACATGTTAATCTGCCTAATTCACTGAAAGCTTGTTGAAAATACAGACTGAGCCTGATTCATTGATATCCTCTATGACTCTTAGCATAATTCTGGTACCTCATAAACTCTAAATAAAGGTGAGTTTATAAATTAATGAGTGAGGTAATGATGAAAGGAGAGAATGAATGAGTGAGTAATTAAATAAATAGTTGAAATAGTTGAGAGGGTGAATCAGTGGTTAAGCGAATGTATGTCAATAGCTATTAAAAATTAAACTCCTTTTGAAATATAAAAGAGAATGGAAGGTGTGTATCATGCATAATCAGTATTCTTATTTTTTCTTAAACAGAGAAGGCCGTGCTGCTCTGGTTTCATCCTTTGGGGTATTTAAATACTTGACCATGTATGGAATAATCCAGTTTATTGGTGCATCACTGCTCTTTTGGGTATGAACCAAAATAATTTTTTCTAGTTCTAATTGCATTTACATCCCTGGTTTATTCTTGATGGGGTGCAGCTCCTACATAGGATTTAATGTTTTATAAATAAATGACAATTCTCAAAATAGATGTCTATAAACTGGGAAGTTGGCATAGCTGTGCATGAAACATGGAGCTAGAAATAAAGAGATGTGGCTCCGTTTTGTAGGAGTGTTGTTTTTCTCGAGACACTTGACCTCTTCAAACCTCTATTTCTTCCCGTGGGTAATGAAGAAAGCTTCAGAGCAGCCTAAATATAA